TACTGAAAGTCTCACTTTTGGACGGGATGACGGCGTCCGCGCCCCGCAAAAAAGGACGCATTAGGACGATAGTCTGGACGCCCGTCTTATGCCGAAAGCTGTCGCTTTTTCCGTAAAGCAACTCATCACAGAAGGACCCTTTCAAGACGGCCGTCTAGATGCCCAGCACGGACGAACATCCAGCGATACGACATGACGCCGTGTCAGGTACATGAAAGTGGACTACTGAAAGTCTCACTTTTGGACGGGATGACGGCGTCCGGACGCCGCCGCAACAGTGGACGTATCCGGACGTCACGTCCGGATGCCCCGTCCTACAAAAACAATTGCTACCCATAGATAGGGTCAGGCGTCTAAGGTATGACCACCACTCTCAATCTGATTACGAGAATAGCTAATGTCTAACGAGAAAACACTGCGTCTAATGCTATTTGTATGACAGCGAAACTAGTAATCGCTCAAATATTAGTTTCTCGAACATAATCATGTAGAATGGCATCTTTGCCATTTAACAACGAGTTTAATAGCTTAACTAATCACTATCTTTCTTAAAAACATTGAATATTTCACTCTTTGCAAAAGAGCAAAAAAATGATGGCCAGATTTGACGATATTAGTATTAATATTAATATAAAGTTGAGGCAAAGGGCAGCTTTTAGAAAAAGATTCTTGCCTATTATGAATATTACCAAGGCAGAACTACTATGTTTATTGTAGTTCCGATGCACCGGTGATTTTCGGTTGAAATACACATAAGAACAGAGAGCTCACAGGATATTGGATCAGAATGTGGAAACTATAAAATCGAATGGAGAGTTTATTCTTGCTATTCAGTTTTATTGATAAAAGAATAATAAAAAAGCTAACAAAATTAACTGCTGTCTTTCAAACTAGGATATTCTAATACATGGATACAATTGTTGGGTTTAAAAATGAAAGCATGTTTTTTCAGTATAAACTTTGGATGACAGACATGTAAAATACTTGACCGATTCAATAACAAAATATTTGGAACATGATATTGACAATTAGCCACACAAAATTTAACCTTCGACGAGTTGGTTGTTTTTTCTACTAATTCTTCAATAACAGCGCTAACGTTATTTTTTTTGACAAAACAAATGCGCGAATCAGTCCGTAACGTACCCCATTGGATCCAAAATCGAATGAAATACAGCAGTCACCAAATAGTTGCCGATAAGTTGCTGATGTTGTGCGAAAAAAACAATTGTTAATCATTACACTATGATGAAACGTCACTTGATCTTTAAAAAAACGTTGGGCATATGTCGCTAATCCATTTGTACTTGTGTCGTATGCAGTCGCGTCAATTTGTTTGGATAATAAACAGTCGTCAATCTGTTGATGGTAGACAGACCAGTAAGTTTTTCTGTTCATTAATTGCTCATTAAATTGCAATAACCGTAATGGATAACGCGGTTCACTGATGCTAATAATGGCATGGCGGAACAAGGTATGTGATTTAATAATTTGCTTTGCATATTCAGTTGTTCCATGCACCATTGCAATCAAATCTTTGTCAATACCTGGAACAGAAGCGGAGGAGAAAAAAGATTGGCGTTCGTTATCAGTTGTTTACCTTCAAAATTGAATGTTGAACACATCCAAATGGGACCAATAAATTCAACTGTTTTGTACAAATGAAGTAAGGAATGGATATTACTAACCATATGTCGTTTGCCAAAAATCGCTTCAAACGATTGTACAAAATAATTTGATAATAATTTAATCGTTTGGATTATTTCAATTGTTGTCAGGTCGCTTAATGCCAGATTAACCGCTGTAACGAAAGATAATAATAACTGTTTTAATTTTGTGTCTTTAACAAATAGTAATATTGTACTAAAGCCAAAATGGAATAAACTTCGGTATTCACTCCCTTTGAATTTATTAATAATTGAAATGGTACGAAAACGTCTTGATGTTGTTGATGGTATTCGCACACACTGCAATAGATCATCAATATCCTTGATTTTCTTGTGTAAAGACCACTTTTGCTTCTTGTGTTGTTTGTGAAATAATAAATCACAAAGTTTTTTGAATGCACCACTATAAATTGTATGTAACGAATCAGTTAAAAATGACGATCCATATTTAAAAAATCGAAGCCGAGTTAATTGGCATCGCCCTGTAAGTAAACCACGAGAGCTGAATCTTATGTTGATAGCAAATGAATGGTGATGAAGCCAAAAATATTTACCAGAATGGCCACGGTGAGGTTTCGACAGTTTTTCATCTTCCATGTCTCTGACTATTTCAGTACATTTATCCTGTGTTCGATCTTCAATATCGCCATATGGAAACACACGTATGTGAAATTTTTTTATCTTATTTCCTAACCCACGTTCACCATGAAATATCTCGCCTGAAATAGAAGCAAAATAATAAACAGCTGCGCAAGTGAATCTATATTATCGATGTATTTCTTCGGAAACATGTTGAATGTAAACATACCAGGAGTGAAACATTTTGGACATCCGTATTCAGCGTTATAAACAACGACATTTTCCATTAACGCTTCAGCCGGTTTGTCAGTACAACTTGCAATTGTAAAAAAATGTAATGTGTCTGTTGCATCTAAATCGCTAATATAATATTGCTGTCCATTTTCGATTAGTTGTAGGTCTTCTGTAATTAGATCTAGACACGCTTCGAATACAATGTTATTTGGCTTTACTTTAGCTGGAATCACGCCAGCGATAATAATGTTCTCCGTGTATCTTCGTTGTGGGATAGGTACCTCATTAATCATGAGAATAAACGGCCATAAAGAAATATTTTGATTTGGAGTCACGACACCGTC